GGGAAATTACAAACTAAGCAACGGTGCTCCCTGCATCCACCCCTGCCCTCGCCGGTGCGGTGTCGCATTGATCTCCATTAGTGATTTAGCGATTAGGAGGACAAATTGCCTATGAATGCAAAGCAGGCTGCAGGGCCCTCAGGAGCTCAGCTGAACATTCATCTATCAATAAGGCTGCGCGTGCCGGTGGAATGGTCAGCCCAGCGTCCTTTGCCCCTTGGACCTCAGCTCCACATCTGGTGGGTAGTGTTCCCTGCATCTCGCTCACCGGGCTCTCTTTTGACAATTTCTGGGGATGATTGTCCTTCTCCTCTTCTGTTATCTATTCCACTGGGGCAGTGGTCCCAACCCTCTGCTTTGACCTATTTTTCAGTCTCTGTGAGTCCTGTGATACACGTTAGCATCGGCAAGCACGAAGAGTGCTGACTGTTGGGCTGTAGTGTATCTGCCTGTGTGGGGGGGTTCATCATACGGATCCCCTTTTGGGATTGCTTTGGGTGCTAGGTTGGGAAAACAACCACACAGCGAGTAAAGTGAGGAGATGACCTTTCTCCCATTTCATAAAACAAAACAAAACAAGACAAAATGTGTAGTGCCCAAAAGCATGGTTGTTGGGGGAGCCCAAGTAACAAAATAAAAGAGCTTGCTGGACCCTTCTGTATGAGAGAAGAAAGAGAACTTGCTCCCGGGAGAGAAGTTTGGAGAACAAGGGAAAGTAATAGGGAGAGAGAAGAGGTGTTAAGGGGGAGAGACCAAGATTAGGCTCAGGGAAGAGCCAGGGAAATTTATGACTCCCCTGTGTTTTGTGATTATTGTTTCCTTTTTTTTCCCAGAGATGGGGTCTCACTATGTTGCCCAGGCTGGACTCCAACTCCTGGGCTCAAGCAAAATCCTCCCACCTCAGCCTCCCAAGTAGTTGGGACTACAGGCGCGGGCACCACCATGCCTGGCTTTGTAATTATTGTTTTGTGAAGCAGCAGTTCTCTAAGTGTGGTCTGTGACCAGCAGCATCAGATCCCCTGGGAACTGGTTAGAAATACAAATTCTCAGGCCCAAGCCCAGACCTACTCAATCCGAGGGCGCTGCACAGAGACGTGTGTTTTAACCAGCCCTGCGGGTGATTCTGATGGGCTCTAAGGTTGAGAACCACTCAGTAAATCTTTCCTCCTCTTGCCCTCCATACCAAATTGCAATTGAGGTCTAGACATTCACAGACATGTTGTGCGGCTGTTTTTGTAGTTGCTGATGTTGAAATTGAAGGGGGTCCAGTTTCTCACCTGTGGCATCACAGGCGTCAGCACTGGGGGTGGGAGGGAACAGGATTCTTAGGGGCGGAGACAGCCACAAGTACAGAAGTCCCCAAGGAATTTTACAGACATGTTCGGACTTCCATGGGCCAAGGCATTAAGAGGATTGTGGCAGTTCTCCCGTGTTCTGGAGAGCTGGGGGACCCACATTTCTGTCATAAGCTCACCCTCCATTCCCCAGTTGATGAGCTCACATCACGCCTTCCCTAGTAAGACTCCCACATCCTCCTTCCACCGACACTAGGAAACCTGCACCCATCTTTTCCCACTGTGTGCCTGTCTCGTGGAGGGGACAGCCTCACCCGTCACCAGCTCACCAGTTCCCTGGATCCCGGCCACTCAAGCATTTCACTCCTGAAGCCAGTGCTTCTCAACCTTGGCTTCAAGAATCACCTGCAGAGCTTTTTAAAAAAAAACTCGAAGCCCGGGCTGCACTCCAAGCAGTTACAGCAGGATGTCTGCGTGGGAGGACTGAGGCACCGGCAGTTTCAAAGCTCCCTGGTGACTGCAGCGTGTGGCCACACTGTGCAGCACGGCCCATGCTCTGGGCTCTAGACTCTCCGTCCTGCCTCATCTCCATTGCCATAAAATCGCACCCACTCTCTTGTGTTCAACAAATTCTCCCTTGACCTTCACATCAGCATCTAGGTTCTGCAGAGAGTCTTCCTGAGAAATGACATCATCTGCCCCTCTCCTTTCTCACCTCCCGTTTCCCCACAGTCCGTGCTCACCTCCCTGGCTCTGTCCCCACTGAGCTAGTGAAATGGTCCTTTTCAAGATCATCAATGGCTTCCGTATTTCCACAGGGTGTGACCACTGTCCTTTCTGATCTTAGTCAACAAATCAGCAGCATTCACCAGAGATAAGTGCTGTCTCCTTGCATGGATGCATATCCCTGGCTCTCTGCTCTTTTGATTTCCTTGTCCCCACTGACTGCTCCTGCATGGTCTCCTTTGCTGACTTCCCCTCTGCCTCCACTCTAATTGTTGATGGTCCTGAGTCCATTTGGGTTCACTCATGCTCCCAATGGTGCCCATATTTGCATGTGTAGGTCAGCCATGTCCTTTGAGCTCTAGATTCACTTATTCAAGTGTTTACTTGATGTTTTCACCTGGATGTCTCACAGACATAAGCAAATAAACATTGCTAAATGTAACTCGTAGTTTCACCCCTAGAGCTCCTCCTCCGCTTCTGTCAGTCTTTCCAGCTCTGAAAATGGCACCACCATCAACCCAGTTGATTAAACCAGCTGAGTTACTCTCGACTCCCCGCTCTTCCTTACCTCTCATCTTCAGTCTCTGTGCAATTTCTGTTGTGAATCCAAAATCGATCTCCCATCCATCCCCTTCTCCTCCTCTCCACTGCTGCCACCATAGTGTAGTCTGTCTTCATTCTTGTCTCAGACCACAGCTTCCGAACTGTTCTATCTGGTTTTAGCTCACCTTCCACCAATCCTTTCTATGCACCAAAATACCTGTCCAGGTCCCATCCAGGGCAGGAGCCGTGTTACCTATAGATCTGAGCAACAGAGGTGCCTGGACAGTGCTCACCCTGGATGCAACTGAAGACCAAGGCAGCGATTAGCAGGTCATTAGCCTGTCTACTTCCCGAATGGTTCTCCTGTAAAGTCAGGATGTCAGGCAGCGTGACCAATGCTTTCCACCTCAAGAAGAGTGGCCACATACATTGAAATGCAAGTGGACATGGACCCCATTTCACACAGATGACACAGCCCAGGAAAGTTGTGAACAAACCAAAGTCTGAGTAAATCGTAGCATTCTTGAAATGTCCTAGGGTGCTAGATAGCTATATGAAGCCTGCGATTTTTTTTTGTGATGAAAAGAAAGTCGACAACAGACTCCTGATTTATTTATTTTATAAGTAAGGATTTTTAAAATAAAATTTTCTTATCCATCTTATCCATCCACTTCCTACACACTTCTCCCTTTCAGTCTCCTTTGCTGATTGCTTTTCCACTGGACTCCAAGATGCTGGTGCTCCCAGTGCTGGATAGAAAGCCTAGTTCCTTCTGAGGCTATATTTTTGCCCTAGGTGCAGATAATTCCCACATATACATTGCTGAATCTCCTCTCCAGATCCCCACACCTACTTCTCATTTCTGCTTGTACATCTACAGTTACCTCCAACTTCACATTTTCAGAATCTTGGTTTATCTCTGTATCTCTGATCCCCTCAGGACTTTTCATCCCTGTAAATATCACCCCACCAAACAGCTGCAAAATGCCTTTTGTCTGGCTGATGAGACCATTCTAAACAGCAGTCCGCCTTTGAACTGCACATGGCCCAGACAACATCTTTTGTTACCATCAACCTTGAATATCTATCTCATGGAAAGGAGCGTTGGGTACAAGATGATGAAGATGGGTGGGTGGGGAGTATAGGATTAGCTTGGCCCCATCTGCCAACACTATGGAACAGACGATTTGAAGAAAAGGTCGGTGAAATTCAGGCTTATGTTCTAGATGAATAGAAAATATTGTTGTCCAATTATTATCTATATCTAGTTCAGATGAACCTAGATCCAAATGCAACTCTTACAAACAAGGGACATTCAAAATCAGCAACAACATGGACTCATTTCGGAAGATACTAGAGAGCAATTCATATGGTATAGGATGATGTGAGAAGTTTCCTGGCCCATCTCAGCTTTTGTATGTTTTGTTGACTCATTTCCTAAGACCTAAAAGTGGACCCTCCAACCCCCATCAATGCTTATGCAACATCTACATCTGCCTCGGGAACTTAAAATCAGCCTCGCACCACGTATGGGAGCAGGGGAGAGAAAGGGAAGGGTAGAGACGGGGACAGGGAGAAAATCCTGTGTGAGACTGCGCTACTAAACAGAATTGATGGAGACATCATCGAACTTGACTGAGTTTATTTGAATATAACTAGATTAAACTTCTGCAGCAGACAGAAAGGAAGACTGAAAATAGCAGTAGAGATCAAGTTACACTGTATTAAAATACAGTTAAATGTTTGCATTTCAGAGTTATGGTTTGAAATTTGCACCCATTGTGCACATAAACAAGTTTGTGGGGTCCTTTAGATATTGAGGCTTTCTGTTCTTGAATTAGGGAGATGGAAAAGTTAATTTCACTATGAACAGAGTTGACTTTATTCTATTTTTCTGAAGTCAGAGTTATGGATTCCTCTTTTTTTTTTTTCTCCAGACAGGTTCTCGCTCTGTCACCCAGACTGGACTGCTGTGGCTCTATTATAGTTCGCTGTAAACTTGAACTCTTGGGCTCAAGCCAGCCTCCCACCCTAGCCTCCCAAAGCACTGGGATTACAGGCGTGAGCCACAGCACCTCGTCTGGATTGTAATAGTTTTGATAATCAAGTTTAATAAGCCCTGTTCTTTTACAAAGCAATCGCATACAGACGATACACCATCAACATATAGCTCCACAAACAACTCATTGTGCAACTGTAGGTAATCTTCAATTAACCCTGGAATAAATGTATAGCAGCGTTAACTTCACACACACAGGTTTTATCCTCACATACACAGAGGACAAATTTTATATCTTTCTCTCTCTTTTAATCATGAAAAACAGTGTATGTAGGAAAAGGACATGTCTTCTGGAATAATTCTGCTACCTCTCCAAAGAGAGATGCATTGGAGATATGTCAATCTTTAAATGAGAAAACTGAGGGCCTGCCGCTTACCTTCACACCAGGGATTGAAGAGAATGTACGTGTCTGTCTCCGGGTTTCGGCTGGTTCGGAGTATGCCGTAGGGGGTCCAGACGGCGACGTACATGCGAAATTTCCCCACGATGCATTCGGGGGAAGACTGGACAGACAGCCGGACAGACCTGTCCTCATTCATCACGACTTTGGCCCCCCACTTTCCACTTTGTAGCTCGGGGACTACAGGCACTGGGATGTAGGTTCCCTTGTTCTCCTGAGGGTAGCGACCTACGAGAAGAAAGAAGAAATGCGGTGTTGAGTGGAATTCATAAACCATTTTTGTATTCACTTTCTTATCTTGTAGATGAAGGGGGGCCGGCGAGAACAATCCTTTAGACTCGAAACCATAAACTTTAGGTTTGGATTTTATTTCTGCTGCCAACTAGCTGTTTGATAGTAATGGACTTTCTTAACTTCTTTGAGGCTTGGATTTGTCATGTCCACAAAAAGAACACAAGACTTGAGATTTTTGTTGCTTGGTTAGATAATGAATTCAAAAAAGATGTAAAAACATTAATTTGAACGCGAAGACAAAGCTTGTAGGGTACCGTAAGGTTGTTCCCTAAAATTCTGCCCTCTAAAAAGTTAGAATTGTTTTATTAAGTAGAAGTAATATTAGTTACACAACACTGTTTTTAGGACCATAAGGCAAATGGGTTTTATTTATTCTGAATACAATTTCTTTATTTATCATAATATTGCCTCTAATACGAGTATACGAAAAGGCTGTCTATATGTAATCACTCTCATATCCAACCTAATTATGTATTTATTGCCAGTCCCCTAGTGATGTAGGCTTATGTCATGGGCAGAGGCTGAGAATTCAGGCTCCCGTGGCAAATGATCTGGTTTCAACCCTGGCTCTGCTACTTCTTACTCTCGCAACCTCCAGCAAATTACTTGACCTTTACAAATCCCAATTTTTTTCTCTTTTTCTTCGCCAATAAATGAGGATAATAATACCACCTATCTTATAGAAAGACAAAATAAAATAACACATGTAGGATGCTTTGCACATAATTTCTTGCACATAACGAATACTTGAAAATTTTTACTGTTATTTTAATAATAATAGGAGATTACACATCAGAGCATTTTACCACATTTTTACGCACATCATACTTTAGGAATAAGCTATCTCAAGGTAAATCTTATTTTTCTTTATTGCTGCCATTTTGGACAAAATTCTTATTTCATCATCTTAATCTCAAAACTAAAATTTACCACTGGGCTCCTCAACTATAGAGAGAGTCAACCTCACAGTATTCTTTAGCTTACAGAGTTAAAGTTTACAGGTTAGCTCACAGGATGATCAAATTCATAGTTTCATTTACGATTTAGTTTGCAGGATAATAAAATTCATAGGTATTTTAAACTGGAGCAAATCATTCACTTATAAACTTTTCCACAATGTGATAGATTAGTTCTTCT